ATATATAAGCGTTGACCGTCAACTGTCAGTCTTGATATGATGATAATAACAGATAACTTAACTATTTCTGAAGCTCTGGAAGAAATCACTAACCCAGCAGCATTCCCTTGTCAAAAGCATCACCATAGCTGACAGAGTAAGCCACAGAAGACAGAAAGCAGAAATTCGAATCATTATTTTACTTTATGCCAATACTTGCAAAAGATAAAACCTTTGACAATCTACTTTGTTCCAGTAGTGTCAGCTCAGATAAAACTCAGCAGAGGAAACTGAAACACATACAGTATCCACTGGAGCACCCTTTTTTTGTTTGTTTTGGTTTGGTTTTGTGATGTTCTCTGTTAAAACATTGACACTGCAATATGTGAGTGAGCTGTGACAAACGTGCGGGGTGGCATATGCTGCTGCCAGCCTTGCACTGCTGTGAACGTGGCATTTGCAGACCAAAAAAAGCCTTGTGTCTCAACCCTCTGCTTCTGCTGTGGATCACAGAGATGCACAAATGCCCAGGAAATTTTGGCAACACGGGAATTTTTCAGCTTTGTGCCTCCTTCCCCAATCAGTGCAGGGACACGAGCAGACAGCATGTGTGGATGTTCCACACCCAGCAAATCCTGGTTGGGATAGTGACACTGACAGTGCATGGACTTCAGGCCAAACCCACAGATGCTTCATGTACAAGGAGATTTTATCTGTACCTCATTGTTCTGATGCAATATTTCCAATTCTTCAGAAAATAAACCCTTATGGTCCCTTGATGCTACCACAAAAAACCTCTTGACCACCATTAATACTTTTAACTCTTTTATGTGAATGCACAGATTCATGTGAATGCATGATGGAAATATTGCTATTGACAGTCTCGAAGATAAATGTGCTTTACACACCCAGAGATGGTTCAGGCATCAGCAAGAGCTTCAGAAGATCTGAGCTAGTATTCCTGCTTGTAGACCTGTTGGAAGTCTACAATAATCCAATGTCCCTCAACAATCTGACCCCAAACTCAGTTCCTTGTTACATTACTGAGGATTGTGAGATACTTAATGACTCTGATAATGTGGCAACGCTCATCCAAGGCTAGTCTATAATTCCAATGCAACAAGTGATCCAAGTGTTCTATTGATAAGCTAAAAGAACATCTCAGGGCTGTTTAAAACAAAAATCTGGAAAACTGACCTCTTCTGACCATCAAATTATTTGCTTCAACAATTCTTCAGAAAATTGTCAGTACAATAGGTAATTTTGATACCACACTGTGTACAAATGATAACAACACTACACCCTTACCATACGTGGCACCAAATATTTGTCAATTCTCATTTGGCCAACAGGAATTACAAACTTATGCAGCAACATCCGGCCCCCAGGCCCCCTAGGGGAGGACCACTCTCAAAGCTCTCAGGTCTATGAAGTTTGCCTAAAGCAGAAAAATATGCCCAACACTTATTTCCCTGGTTTTGCTATCAGAATGCTTCTCCTGTGCTAGCAAAAAAAAAAAAAAAAAAAAAAAGAAATAGTCTATATTTTGGATACCTGGGAAGAGCACAATCCAAGGTAAAGTGGAAGTTTACATGAAGTCATGACCTACTTCAAAGAACCAGCTTCTTTTAAGTGCTCTGGCTGGATGGCCAACCTGGGTTTAAAAGCACCTCTGAAGTTCAGCGTTAGTTTCCACATAATTTATAATTTACATCTTTTTTTTTTTTGGCAGAACTCTGCTGCTCTTTGGTCTCTGATGATGAGTCACAAGTATTAGGTCAAGATGAAAACAAAACAGCAGCAGTGGCAGCAGTGGGTGTGCAATGAGCAGAGGTGGTCAGGGCTTTGGTTTAACTTCTCACCACTCAGATCGTGTTGGTAACAACTGGCAGATTATCTAAGAGCCTCTTCTAACTGTGAGGGAGAAAAATATGCAGGCAGTTGCCTATGATAACTCCTTCAGTGTATGTAACAGTGAGATACATGACTGGTGAAGCATTCAGGGAAAGATTCCCAAGGAAAAAAAAAATCACCATGCAGTACTGTGTCCAGTGACACTTGCAAACACATGAGACATGATTTAAAATTGTGGTGCACACCAGTCCTGCCTGGGTAACACCTGGAGTGCTTCAGAGGTTTGACAATTCTGTGATTGTTGAGAAACATTTAAAACCACTTCTGGTACCCGTAACTTCGGGACATAAGCCCTTTGCAGCTGTGGCAGTGAGCACTATCCCTGACCACAGCATCATGCATTTTGTGCAAACAGCTAAAACGTGCCACACATGTGCCTCGAGAAAAAGAGAAGAGCAGCAAGAGCTCAGCTCGAGGCAGTCCTGCTCTGGCAGAAGGGAGCAGACAAGAACTGCAAGCTCCAAACTGAGTTTCAGCGTGGACTGTCAGCTTCCAAGCTTCCCACCAGTCAGAACAGCTGGTTCCCCACTAGCAAGAACTTTTTTTTCACATTAGTTCTTCTTTCCCTGATTTTCCCCAGCCCGAGTCTCAAAGGATTATTGAGTAAGTACTCTGCTCCGTGAAATAATTTGGTGGCTTCTTTGTGGACTGTGGTGTGATACAGAAAATTAAGTTCGTGCTATTAAAACATTTGACACTGTTTCTCCTGGGGAGTTATAACAGTCAAAGTATTTGCCTTTTGCACGTGTCTAAACATTTTATTAACATGGGAATGTCCATCCTTTGATATTTCCTTCATACCCTTCTGGCTGTATTGCTTGATTTGAATGAAACAAAAAACAAGCTATGTATTATTGCTGAATTCAAGTGATTCCTGGAAAGAAGAAAATCTGGGATGTAGCAAGGTGGGGGGAAAAAATTTACCTTTCCAATGGTAACATGTTGCAAGTGCTAAAAAGAGCATCATCTTCACATCAAATCAAGCAAGGTACAGGATTCAAGAAACAACGTGCCAAGAGGCAATTTCTCAGCAAGATGTTGGCATCAGAACACAAAGTGATGTGTCTGGAAGCAGAACTGCTGAGCTGCAAACAACCTGGGTGTGAGTCAGAGGATATTAGGACAGTGCCTGTCCACCAGGAATACAGACTTGATTGCATGTGACTTGTGTCAACTCTGGAGACATCAAGAGCAGAACATAAAAGCAAGGCAACAGAGATATTTCTAAATGAGCCATTCAGCCTCTAAGGCAATGAATCTGGCAACAACTCAAGTTTCAGGAGGAAAAAAAAGTCAACATTCCAGGTTTGCGTTCCATGGTTATATCCTTCATTCATTTTTTTCAGGCAAAAGGTCACCGAAACATCATGTTTTAAATCATTAAAAGACACAGTCAATCCCCTTTGAAACTAGCCCATAACTTTGAAACCAGAATCCAATTGCCTGTTCAGGCTCATTAGTGTCTTTGGTTCCTAATGACCCACTCAGTTGCAGTAAATGAAAAACTAATCCTTGTTTTATGCCATTGGCCGAAAAGGATTAGCCAACTCTTGCTACCCTTGCAATCAGCCTTGCACTGGGGGGATTACAACCATCTAATACTGTAAGTCTACACATTCCAATCTGTTACAATATGTAGCACTTAAAGCTTATTTCCTTGAAATGCTTAAACGTACTAATGCCGTAGTGCAAGATTGTTTTCTTGGGATGCAGGGATTCTTCTACCCCTGCCCCCAAAGCCTGCATGTTGCCCATGCACAGGCAGAGGTGCCCCTGTACTTCCAACGTGAAGTTTTAATTGTGTTCATAGGCTTGAAATGAAAAATTAAATAGGTATTTTTTTCTTCGCATAGGGCCCAGACTGGGGAGGCACAATGTACAATGAGGTTGTGAACTAATTATCTGGAACTGTGTGGAAAGGCTGCAACCAGGGCTGCAAACCACTGACACATTTTTATAATTGACTTTTCATTAATTGTTAGATGTTTAGAATACAGGTGATGTTTTTTGCATCCTATTAATGATATGAACACGGAAACAGAGCCATTACTTACTGTTAATGTTATCTAACCAACCCTGTGGGTTGTAACTCCAGTTTTGCAGCACTTTTGTCAATGCAGCTTTTCCAATCCAGAATTCTGGTTGCTCTTGCTATATTACACATAAAATCATTGAGCAACTAGATGAGTCTACAGTGCCATGCCATATGCTTTTTTTCCCCTCAGAGTATTCAGACAACGTATCACTGACAATTTAATATGGCAAAAATCCAGTTTTAACACTCTCAGATGCCCTACTCATACTCAAATACTGAGCAGTGTTTCTGACATAAAATATAAATAACTCCTGTGGTTTTATCACCTAAGTATTACATATAACAGCACAACAAAATTTGTCCTACAGAGTGTTATGCTGAGCATATGCACTTTATACTGATAGACTTGGACTGAAGTCACAGAAAATTCATAAATTGCTCTTAACATAAAATTTGATTTTTGAGTGTGAACAGTTTGCTGAAAGCCTAATTTCCTGCCCAAAGTGGTGTGTGAAGCCATGAAACAGCATTCCATGACGATAAGTCTTATATCCCAAAACTGCTGGAAGTCGTTACATCAGTCTTTACCTCATAGTTGCTACATGGATTTTTGAGCACCAGATTTATCCAGCTGTTGCTTGTTTGTTAGCCAAATATCCCCAACTGCTTATAAACATGCTTTACATTTATGCATCAGTAAAACTAACAGTAAAATAGTAGATGGTGCTCCAGACAAGGTGTTATGTTACTTTACAAATTATAATGTTGTGGGTTTCTTTTACTGGAAGGCCACTTTGCACAACAAGGTATATGTGGAGACATGCTGTCTGTGTTACTTCTGAGCAGAAAAATATCATCTCCATAGAGCTATTATGTCTGAGGGAGAAACCAAACTGAGGCATCAGTGTCTGTCTTGTCACAGCAGCAGGTAGGAGTGTCAATGTCAGTAGTCACTCTTCAAACATTTTACTCAAGAAATTCGAAAACTGATTTCTTCAAATATCATTTTATTTCCTCACAATTTGGTGACATAAAATATTTGTTACAAATATTTATTTAACCTAACGCAGGGTGGTACACCGCCTTTTACGAGGAATTTTTCAAATGAAGTTGCTTTCTGTCAAAAACTTCATTAAAAACTTAAGTGGAACAGTAAATATATCAGGGCTCTGAGCAAACATTTGCCTTCTGAGGAGGATACTCATATAAGAGTCAAAGCCAAATCCCTTCTCTGCTTATTTAAGAGAGGTTTTTTGCTGTTAGTACCTTAGGGCTCGGTTGTGAACCTGAGCTCTGTTTCATGAGGTGCAATACAAGGACAGAACAAAAAGAAAATCCCCACTCCAAGGATTCACAGCACAAGGGCACAGCATAACCCCATTGCCACCTTGCTGACAGCTGCACTGCTTTTGGGAGATTACAGCTCCCAGCTGCCACTGCCACGGCGCTGCTGGAGGTTCCTGCTCTCCAGCTCAGCTGGAGTAACAGGTGTAATACCTGGAATACCTGGAATTTTGCTCTCAAGCAGCTCTCACTGCACTGACAAGAGAATCTCTGTCTACACAGCTTTCAGACCAGAGGTGGATGCAGTCAGGTGTGTGTGTAAAGGACAAACTAAAACAATGTTGGTCAGTGAGATACGTTCTGTGTCAGCAATCCAGCAACGTGACTGCTATTGATTCTAAGGCCAACAAGAATTTGACTGATACTCATGAAAAAAACTCAGGGTGTGTTTATTAGCAGTTCATGCTCTTAGACCTCAGTAAAGTATCCCAGATGCCGAGTGGTTGGTTCTTTCAGAGCTCTTTTTCAGCAGCTTTCTCTTTTATGTTATTAATCAGCCTATCCAATTTCTGTCAGTAAACATCCACCAAGACCTAGAACTATGGTTTCTGCCACTTCAACCTGCAGCCTTGGCTTCTGGACTTTAATGTCAGAGACATGGATGACAGAATCCATCAGGAGAGGGGAAAGAAAGCTTCAGCTCCAAATAACACAGTCTCAAACTTGCCTCTCCCTTATGTTTTTCACATTGCCAGGTATGCAGCAGATTAGAAAAGCTGAGTCTCACTTCAGCAGGACTTCACTAAAACTTTCTGATTCATCTTCATTTAAAAAAAAAAAAATCCAACTTTCACAAATCTCTAGGCACTAGTACTTAAGAAAATCTGGGTGTTACAAAAATGGTCCTGAGACATTTAGGAGTTTGACAGAAAAGAAATAGTGGCATAGATAACCAAGCTTCTGGTCATTTAGGGCTTTGCAGGCGAGCAGAGGGAAAAGGGACTCTACTCCCCTTCGGACATTGTTGACATTTTTTGGCAGACTGTGCAGATTCTATGGACAGGATGCTTTTAGTCCACTTGTTCCACTCAGTCTATGTGCCCCCCTAACTAGTTCGTGCATTTGCAATGTCTTCTGTGAAATCTGCTGAATGATGTGGTCTTCTATTTTGCTTGCCTGCTGTCAGGAAGGGTGTTTGCTTCATAGTAAATGACCGAGAAACCCAATTCCATCATAAATTCATAAAGAGCATCCAAAATTAGTAACCTATGCTTCATATGTAACAGAAAAAAATATCTCCAAAGTGATCTGGTAATTCCTTCAAAGGCCATAAATGTGAAAGTTGTGGTTCTAGAGAAGATGGTTCTGAGGGATTCTGAGGGATGCACAGGGCTGTGCTGGCTCAGAACAGTCAGAATTCCTTGCTGATTAACCCTGGTATTGTCTTAAAAGCCATTCTTTCCACAAGGAAAGGCATTTGTGGAGAGCTGAGGGATACACTTGTGCTGACCACAGTTAGACTTCGGGAACTGTCTCTGCCTTTTTTTGAAAGACACTAGATATAGAGGAAAAAATTTGCTTTCAGTATGTCAAGTGGAAAGACTGAATTTGAAATGTTAAGTATTAGAATTGCAACATTGTTTCACTCCAGATATTAAGAAATACCTACAAAACTTTACATAAAATTAACAGAAATGTTTATTTCAAAATTATAAATCAGCTGTTACACACAGAATACTTAAAACAGTGTCTTTAACTCAAATTCAGCTTTTACTGCTACAATAAACAGTCACTCTTACTAACACAAGTAATTTAGTTTATATCAGAGGCTGAAAGTAGTCATCTAGATGTTTAGATGCTCTCACACAGATATTGAATTAACTCACTACTGTAAAATGATATTTCTGCTGCTTCTAAGTGCCAATTTGGCAAGAGCATATCATAACATTTTATGAAAAAAACACCTTTTGAAAATAAATAAGAAAAATAAATCTGCATCAACACACACATGTTCTTGCAGCAACTACAGTAATGTATTCTTACATTATTTCTTACAGAAATGAAAGGAGAAGATGAAATGCTTTGTACTTTAACTTCAGAAACTGAAAACATTTGTCAAGGCTAAGTAGGAAAAGAATTTCAAAGGAAGTCAAAGGCATTCAAAAGAATGTAAATTGCTTTGTATTTTGTAAGGAAGAATGAAAACCTTTCACAGAAGGAGATTGTGATGATCTCTGATCCTGTCCAAATGCAAATGGAAAACTAAAGTCGTCTTTTCCATCTCCAAATGCATGAGAAGTTGATTCTGAGGCGAAGGGAAAGGCAAATGCATCCTCACTTTCAGGTTTCCCAAAGAAGCTCCCTATATGGAACACACATTATATTTATTATTAGATTAAATCTTACTGAGAGAATACTGCATTCAGCATATGTTCCTTTAAAAACACATTATGCCCAACGTCCTGCTGAGCATCAATGTAGAGTTGTGTGTTTATTTCTGCAGTAGAAATGGTATTTCCAGGAGGTCATTATTAGAATCTACATCGAAGGAAGTGTGAAGTGCTCGAATGATTCAGAACAACAAAACACTTGTGCATGATATATTTTGCAACAGAGCAACGGAGGTCTTTGTAAACAGAATCTACAAAAGTGTTTCTTTAGAGAACAATGTGATCAATCACTGAAATACTTGGAAAAACAAAGCTGCTGACAGAAAAACACTTGAATTTTTATTTAGTAGCACAGAATTCACACACTTAACAACAGCTACATATGCATAAACCCTTATATTCTATACTCATCCAATTTAAAAAAAAGTAGCTTTGCACTTGCAGCACCTCAAAAGAAAAAGATTAGATTACAGTTCCCTTCAGGGAAGTGCTTGATCAGAAGTTTTGATCCTATTGATATAAGGAAAAATTGGCTTTTCCTTTCAGAAAATCCAGGACTTCACACAGATCATGCAAATGTCTGTGGCTCACTCATACTGAGTGAAAGATACTGTGTATTAAGTCTGATTCTGCTCTTTTGTGCCATTTTTACATTGTGTACTTTCAACAGTTTACATCGATGAAAGTTAGTTTGCTATTGAGATTTCTTTAATCAAATGGAAACTTTATGTTCATTTTAGTTGAGGGAGGAAACAAAACCCAAGCAGATGTACTCTTTCCAACTCTAAGCTGGTATCTGTAAGTTAAAGTAGTATTTACCAAGTACTACAGCTTTTTACATTAAAATAACTGTTCTTTTTATCTGTGAAAAAGCTTTGAGAGTTGAATTTTTCTTCTCCCTTGCAGGTCCTCTCAATTTGCTTCAAACACACCTGCCACTACTGCTATTTCTTTCTTTCTCATACCTCTTTTTCTTCCCATGATGTCTCAGACATTTGAAGCCAAAGGTGCAAGGAAAGATTTAAGCTCATCTAAACACAAATGAGCACAATAAACCACTGAGCTACATTATCACACCTGACTGTCCTTTCAAGACAAACAAAGGTGCTCTGCTAAGCAGGATCATGAGCTTGTCAGTCATATAAACACAAGCAGAAGACAGCTGGTCTACACAAGCACGTCTGAGTTTCAGACTTACCAATATCTTTGTGTGGGGACTGAGTGTTCAGGTTTCCCACAGGAAAATTTTCTTCTGCCTGAAAATGTAAACAAATATTCTATTTAACAGATGAGAAAGGCAACAGATAAGCTCTAATGCAGGTACGTAATATGCTCTTTTGCTTTTGGTGAGAAAGACACTGTCTCAGTGTTAGCAGCCTTCACAAAATCTGTATTCAAAGGTGTATATCAGTCCCTAAAGTTGCAAAGGAAACTCTTTGATCAGATAGATTTCATTATAGTTGCACATATCTGCAAACACACTCCCTCCATTCTCCTAGAAAAAAACCCCACATCAGACTGGTAGCTGTCCAAAAGCTGATCTGGCTAACTGCTGTTGTTTAAACTGAAAAAAAAACCCAAAATTATTTCATTCTGTGACATTTTAGAAAACCTCTAAGCAACAACACAATTAGTTCCTACTGAGTAGGACCTGCCATTGCCAGAAAGAGTAGCAGGGTAATCACTTGTCACTCTTGAGGAGAGTTCTTACGCTACATTTAAAACAGATGCTGAAGTCCTTCAAAACTCCAGTCTAACGGCAGAGAATCCCACCTCTGGTACAGTCTGATAATTCTTAGTTTCTGTCACTGAACAGGCACAAAATAATGTGGGTTCTGACAGCACTGCACGACTTAATATCCACCTCATTCCTCAACAATTCACAAACCGCTCACCAGTGTGTTCTCTCCTACACACAGCTCATGCTACAAGATACCAACAACACATATCTTGCCAAACACAAAATGAAATGGTGCTTTCCCTCACCCCTGTTTCAACTTCCGTCCACTGAAACAGGAGATACCTGAGCTCAAATCCCTTATTTGCATAACGGGGTCTGGGTCTCCGTTGCCAAGTGGTACCTAACCCCTGTCCTAGGCACTGACACACATCCATCCTGGAGCCCCAATTATCTCCCTGTTAACCCAGGAGAGGAAAACTGACTCGGCAGCACTGCAGTTGGGGAATTGCAAGGAAAAGGAAGACCTGGATTCCGTTCCTTGTTCCAAATAGTTGTCTACATAGCTCCTCCATTTAAGTATAACTTCCATATTTGCTGTTCAATGCCCTTAGTAGGTTGTGCTTTCTTCCTTTCTCACTGTTCTTCACCTCATCAAGACCACAGAGGATGCGTGTGTGAGCTGGGAATTCTGCTAGAGAACCTAAATTTTGCACTGCAACACTGAACCAGAAGCCTTTTGGTAAATCAAGTCACCACTACATTTGCACAAGATCCGTCTGAGAAAGGTTCATACTTGGTCAGAAGTCATCATAGGGGGAACTGCCAGGAAAGGAGTTAAACATTTTCAAAGGACAACAAAGTAAAATTAAGCAAGATATTAAAAAAAAAATTTACTACAAGATAACCAGTCTGAAAAATCTCATTCACTGCCAGTGCTGTTTTCTTCACTTATTTTGCTTTGTGGAAATGTGGCACTCACAAGTAATCATTTTTACCTCATCAGATGAGTTTTGTGCCCCAAACACAGAAGAACCAAAGAAGTTAAAGCCAGGTGACTTCTGGGAGAAGTTCATGAGAGAAAAGAAAGCAGGAGATTTTGATGGTCCTTCTTCACAACCTAAATTTTGAATGCTGTAAATACAGAAAGGAATAAACCATATTAATAGTTTTCTAAGTAATGATGGGTTTTTTTGTTCCATTTTTTTTCTTTTTCTGTTTTTTCACCTTTTTAAATCCCCATAGCTTCCATCAATAATTTCTTTTTGCATCACAGCACAGGTAACACAATTCTTTAAAGCAAAAGTGGTATTCTTACCAATTCTCTACCCTTCTAACAACAACAACCTATTTAAAGATAGAAATCAGGAGTACAAATTACTGCAGGAAAAGACAATGTGTCTCATATTTCTAAGCAGAGTCTTGCTTTTTCAAACAGCTTCAAGTGGAAAGGATATTATAAGAAAAAACCTAATAAATGCCTAGAATAAATTGGAAAAAAAAACCTGAATATTTTCAGATGAGTTTTCTAGAAAATTCTTTCTATAGTATCTTCCAAGAACAGCAGAAAGGTTTATACAATAAACATCAACACAGTTTTTTGCCCAAGATCAAATAAAAGCTGAAATCATACAAGTCAAAGGGAGGTGTTTCAGAGAACTGCATCTTCTTCCCCTTTAAGTCAGGTGTTTTAGGTGCTCTTAAAAATGGTTCTGCACTTTCTTCTACTATGTCAGGATTATCTTCATTTGGGTTAAAACACGTGTGTACATCCTATTAAAAAGAAATATACAACAATGTTTATAACATATAAAATTTCCCAAAATATCATTAGCCCATTTACCTATAAATACGTTCATGATATGCTTTAGGTTTAGTTATGTCTCATGAAAAATAAAAGGATTTTAATAAAATGCTCACAGTGACATATTCACCATCCTTAAAACTGTAACATTAATTTACCCAGTAAAAATGGACTTCCTGTGAGTTAAAATTTTCATCCAAAAAATAGAGAAACTTGTGAACTAACACTTTCAACAAAAGATGTAATTCTAAAGTATGTCTTAGCATAATGTTTAAGGTCACACTGGAATCCTCTTGATGCTCCCTACTGAGATAAAGGAACATCACCAGCAGAATATATTTCAGTTGACTGAGATATTTCATCTTCCTCAGAAAAGGTTAAATGAGAATGTACACTTGGATTCTGTGCAGCAATTTCCACCAGACTCAATATTGTTTTAAATATTTCTTCTCCATCAGTTGGTTTCAGGCATCATTCTGTAGTGAATCAACCAGAGGATGAAGAGCATCTCAGACTTGATCTTGTCTACTGGTTGTAGCTGTGTGCTGCTTTGGGCTGGGGTAGAGATTGTATTCTTCACAGTGGATGGCACAGGAGATACAGTGATAATTATTCAGGGATGTTTCAGTTACTGCTGAGCAGTGCTCACACAACATCAAGGTCTTTTCTGTTTCTCTCCCACTGGTGAGTGGGCTGGAGGTGCACAAGGAATTGTGAGGGGACACGCTGGGACAGCTGACCCCAACTGACCACAGAGGTACTGCACACCATGTAAGGTCATGCTCAGCAACAAAAGTCGTAGGGAAGAAAGAGGAAGAGGGGAATGTTTGGAGTCGTGACATCTGCCTTCCCAAGCAACTGTTATGAGTGATGGAGCCCTCTGTTCCTGGAAATGGCTAAACAACTGCCCGTAGATAGGATATAATGACTGAATTCCTTATTCTGTTTCACTACATGTACAGCTTTTGCTTTACCTGTTAAATTGTCTTTATCTCAACCCACAAGGTTTTGCATTTTTACCCTTCTGACTCTGTTCCCCTTTCCACTATGGGGGGCAGGGAGCAAGTGGCTGTGTGGTGCTCAGCTGCTGATGGGCATTAAACCACATCTGGACACCACCTACATGTGCAACACAACTGGCTTGAATATTACTTGAATATTATGTGTGCCTGACCTCACATCCAGGCACACCTGGTAAAAGCAGTGGCAATGGAGCCAGCACTGAGCCTATTTATCACAGGTCTTTGTGAGAAAGAAGTTTCAAAAGCAGTCTTTTTTTTTTCATGTGAGCTATTTCATCGGCTCACACTGATGAAAATGTTATGCACCAATTGATACAAAAAATATGATGTGCATAGGATAGTCTATTGTTAAAGCAGCAAAAAAAACCCTCAGAACACTGATGTGATCAACAGCAATGATCACTATATTACCAACCAGAGAATACTGGTTGGCTCCTCACCTGTTGTGTGCCTTACAGTGAGTCACTTTGCCAATTTCTGAGACTCACCTCTTGCCAACCGATTCAAACATGTCGAAATATTTTGACTATTGTAAATAAATTAATTACTTATGACATAAGAAATGCTTTGCTTACTTGAGGTATGTGTGAAGATTCCTTTGGCTCATCTGCTTCTTTATCACCACGTTTGGCCTCTTGGTTTGCTGCACAAAAAAAGACAGCCCTGTCTGTATTACAGCAGCCTTTTAAACAGGTACATAAAAATTACATTGTGGGGAAGAATCCCTGAGGAGGGTTTACTAAGCTGGCGTTGCTATTGCTGAGGAAATGTTCTGACTGTGGTTTTCATAACAACCCACTCTGTGGCTACATCCATAATAATTACCTCTTGTTCTGCCACTTACTCACTATTGTCAGAGCATTACTCGGGCTGCTTCACGTGGTTTGGTGCGTTCTCTAAACCTACCCATTGTTCCCCGAGAGTGCTGTGTTTGTCTAATCCAGCCATTGCCCTCTGAGAGTGCTAAATACCAGTCAATAGAAACCAGGTGGGAACAATATAAAAAGCACATCTGTGTGACAGTGATGAAGTATTTAAAGGAGGATGAGAAACGAGAGGGAACCTTATCAGACTTTCTGCTCTAAGCTTCAGGTCATGCAACATCTCAGGCACTGTGGGTTAAGGACACTGTGTTTCAGGACACAGAAGTAGTGTCCTATTTATAAAAAAAATATAGATTATAACCTTTTACATGCATCTAAATTGGCAGTATAATTAGAAAAAAAATATTTAAACTGAAGTTCAGTGCCTTGGAATCTCAAAAACTGTGTGTTTCTAACTACCCTGTTTTGTTTCTGTAAATATTCTGTATGTTTTTCTCCAGTTAATTTTTGTCATTAATAATCTTAATGTGATGATTCCAGATTCCTAAATGACTGGGTTTATTATACCCCTTTTCTTTGCATTTTCTCATGCCTCCTGGGCAGATTTTGAGACTGGATTTCATTTTACCCAAGTAATTTGAGACTAGAGTAAGAATTTACAGGAGCTGTTGGAAGCTTCCATTCATTGGCAATGGTCAATGCAGAATGAATCTGCCTGTCTGCTATACTCAAAGTTTGAACTAAATAATCAAAGTGGGAAAGGAATACAAATGGTGGCCCTCTTAACACCAGAATGAAAATTTGGTCCATAGAATTATATGATCCAGCCTTATAAAAAAAATTGCAGTGGTACCTTACCCATTACTGCCTTTTTACTCTCAAACTGCTGACTGGAAGTCAACTGCTTTGGAGGATTTGTCACTCTAAAAGACAAAAATTATTGTTTGTCTAAATATGAATTACTTCCAAAAACCTCAGCCTTAAGAATGAAAACTACTTTATTAAAGTTACCTGAATTTCATTGGGGTTTGTATGCTTGCTATTGATGGAACTTGGGCAATTTTGGGGTTATTGGTCCCTGCGGTGTCAATAACCATCTAAAAGGCAGAAGAAAAATTCAAAAGAGGCAGCAAATGAAATTGTCACATCAACAGTATCACTTTGATTTCTTCTCACACTGTGGAAATCCCTTCTTTTAACCAGGAATTAAGGATCAGGCAATGTAAAAAAAACCCTACCTACCTTTTTGCCTATATTTCCATTACCTACATTTTGACAGAATGATACCCAAAATCACTTCTATAATTTTTTATAAAGTCTTAGTCACAGCACTGATAACTAAATGTGACTAATTAACTTCTCTGTGACACAAATAATGTTATGTAATTTACGAACTTTATCCAGGTTTGCTGCTGCTGCTTCTCAACACAAAAAGGGCTGGGCCAGGCCTGCCTCTGCCACTGAAGGCTGATGTGAGCATGTACATCAGTCTCAGTCAGCACAGATCTCATGTGTGGGTTGAAAAACTGCAGAAAACATGGAAGTACTCCCACCTCACAGATTTTTATCAGATCAAAAGCCCTAACTCTTATATCTAGGGTGTCTTTGTGCCTTAAGGGCAGAGTGGCACCAGGGTTCTATACCTCTGCATCAGATAAAACATTATTTCACAGGGAGCATCTAGTTCTGGTTTATTTTTAATTTACAAAATGTATCAATCTGAATTCAGTTCAGGATAGGGGACTAAAGGGCTGGTTCTGCATTATCTGTCTGCCACTCAACTCCTGAAGTTTACAGCACACCTTCTCTGAAGCATAGCAACCTTTCTTCCAATCTTATTTTGCCTCATTCTCCATCTTCTTTTCCTTGTTGTCATCATCCTTTCTGAAAGTTCTCTTAACCTTGACTTACTGCTTCTCAGTATTGTCTAGTGCAATTCTAAGTCCTAGATTTCCAGCCTCATCTCTAGATTACCCTGGCAACAGCCCCTTCCATCATCCTTGTCATGTCCAACTCCCTCAGCCAGTGACAAATGAGAATTGCTTGAAATTTCTTCTGGCCTCGTTCCACTCAGCCTGGCCACTGCCCTTCGTGTTGTCTTATATTAGGAAGACACTTTCTTCTCCCACAAGCTCCACTCGACACCATGTAGTGATTCCCTCGCTTAGTCCTTCAGTTCCTTTGAAATTCTTAAGAAAATCACAACTGGTTCTGTTTAATTTTAGCTTGATTTTTATTGTTCAATAACATTTGGGTTTAAACAGAATGAGTGAGGTGCCCCTTAGAAAGAAGGGTTTGATATGGAAGCTTCCCCGAGCTTCTGCACAGCAAACACAATCACAAATTATTTACTTTGTCTCCTATGGCCTTCCCTTATCTGAGTACTCCTTCAATACCTTAACAATCTATTGCTCCTTTCAATGCCCTTGCTCTCTGTGAGAATATTAGTGGTTTTCACAACTGTGCAAGCTGTTCCTCCAACTTGTTTCTAGGTTGGTTGATTGTGTTTGAATATTTAAGATACAAATACACTTCACCATTTCATAAAAATGCCATATGAAATCTGTGCTTACGGGTGAGAGACAGAAAATGGACTTGTGGACTCCTGCAGTGTACAAAGCAAGGTTGTTCATGGTTTTATTCCTGTCAGCCCAGATTTTTGTCTCTGGTTAAACCTCAGAACTGAGCTGTTAACTGTAGGCACACCTGTACAGCATCCTGCACACTTAGTCCTTTATGAAATCCTTCATTATGGAGTAGATGGCTGACAAGTCATCAGTAATAGATTATGCTCCTCCTTTAAAGCTCCAAAAATTTGCTACATAAAACCAAGTGAATCTACAAAGGTTATTCTAAATTTTAAAAACTATTACCCAATATTAGTTGGAAAGGTGGAGCACCTCAAGTTTGACATGAGAATGCTTTGCAAGAACAAACATATTTTCAGAATGAAAAGGCAGCAAAGAAAGATTTTTGTTGTCATTACCAAATAATAGCAGATTACCAAGATTACAGGGTTGGCAGGCTTCATGTAAGATATTATAGCACAAGGCATGTTTGAAGTGTTTTAAATTTAAACCACCACATAAACCAGATTATACAATCTCACGATTTTACCAGTGGGAGAGCTACATACCTCTGACAAATTTTCTGCAAGATTGGAGGAACTGCTAGTGGCAACTGAAAGTTCCATTGTTTTTTCTTTGTCTTCTCTCCCTAAATTAATAAATATCATGTAATATTTTCGATAGGATTAAGTATCCAAAGCATGGCATTGTTAAACTAAACTTGGGAACAACGATTATAAATTTTCCTTTCGATACAGAGCGAAAAGAAAATTATCACAAAATATGAAAGTATTAATCAAATAATAGTTTATATTTGCTGTACTAATGCAAACAGTGCTAAAGGCATGTTTCAGATTTTTCTGGCAGCATGTATCTGTGTATCTGTCATGTTACTTTACTCATTGCATAGGTACAAGAGGAACCAGACAGAAGATTTCCTGAACATAAAGACGGGTAAGCACCCAACTTCCACTGAAAACTTGGCTTCAGCTGTCACAGTAGGAGCAGTTCACTAGGTTTGTTGTTGTGCATCATCCATTCATGTACACAAAAATAATCCAAAATCCTCACTGAGAAATCATTAAACACACTGCACCTGTTTCTGGTTGTTGATTTGAGAATCTAATACTCTGTACAGACTGGACCAATTTCTGAGGAATGTGTAGGACAGGTAATGGTTTACACCACTGATGTTTCTCTTTTGGCAAAGGTGAGTGTTCAGGCTCTTCAAACATCCTAAACAGAATTAAATTTAAAATCATTAAGTTGCAAGAGAAAAGAAACCATAAAATATAACTGCTTCAAATAAGTGTAGTTTTCAAGGGAGTTGGATGTTGTCAGTGAGGTTCTACCACTTTCAGCACCAGTAGTTGATAAAAATTGACGTTTTCTTTAAATAATATCAGACAGAGAATATCACTGAAAAAAGAAACCACCAAGTAGTAACAAGCCAATCATAAGAACACTGATGACTTAAATTTTGTCAGTATCAAAGAAAAGAATTAGTAGTTTGAAATTTGACACTTTGAATAAAGTACATCATTACTGTAGTTCTGAAATCACATTTTCACATTTAAAAACACTTTTTCTCTCTCTTTGAGATTGTCTGGAATACTCACACTACACATACACAAAAGAGAAAACTGCAGCAAGTGTTTTCACTTGTGGGGTAATTATCTGTGTAGGGTAAATAGCTCTTTACAGTGGAGAAAGACAGAGGTTAGCAGAACAATGAAGGGTAAAGTGGCTATTTGGCACAGGAACGTTTACCATTTTTTAAAATAATGAGTTCTATTCTATTTTCTCTCTGGCATTCTTGCCTAGTGCCTCTGTGCTTCTAGCTACAACATCTGGTCTGTTACTGACTGAACAACGCCGGTCAGAACAAATAAAGAACTGAGTCAGTCTGTTGGTTCTTCTTGAAATGTTCCATAAACAAAAATAAGATAAAATGTAGGATGCTCTTGTGGAATAAAATTAGCGGTACTAATAAAAAATACCAGTTAGAAGCACTGGTTAAGATACATGGGCCTAACACATTAAACTCTTATCCATACCTGTGCTCACATAAAACTGTGAATGCACCTCAGACAAGTAACTCTGATGAAAAGGACCATTTTCATGTGTGGTTACATATACACCTGGTGCTGTGCTGGACTGAGAGCTAACAAACTATACAAACCATATACCACCTAACACAGCAATCAAAAAAACCCTACGAATATTAGAGATTTTTTTAAACAATTGTATCTTTTAGTTACATTGATTGTAGATAAACCTGTGTCAAGACTGAATATTACAGGAAATAAGATGTGTATACAGCTGGTGCATCTTTAAATTCAGATGCAGGGAGCATAAAGAGGAGGAGAAATCCAAACACAGCTAAGCACAGAACTCTGGCTAAAACTGCCTCACTTTGTTCAAAGTGGCTTATTCGACCACTTTACCACAATCATCATTCAAAGATCAATGGAACAAGGCTGCAGTGGTTAAGGTCATCAGCTAGACTGCCAGAGACAGTCTAATAAGGGTGGGGGTTTTTGTTGTTTGGGGTTTTTTTTTTCTTTTGTTTTGGATTTTTTTTTTCACTGAATTTAGGATGCTAAGTTATCTTTTTAAAAGTTCTTGCAGTCACTTTCCATGTGCTCCTGTAAAGCCTCACAGACAACTCTACCTTTCTAAAGATTTACTCTCCATTAAATATATTCTCCATATTCTCCATAAAAAATATTCTTTCACAACGCATATCTATCCAGAAGAATGTATCAAGGGCAGTTACAAACCAGACTCAGAAGCTCTTAAATATGCACTTTTTGAGTAACAGAGCTCGCAGTTAAACTTCATGCATATCCAATACAGCTGTTCCCTTCCCTCCCCAAAAACACTGTTGAAAAATAAACCATGGGCATCTTCTCTGACATAATTAATAACCACTGGAAGAAAAATCAAACTGCAAACTGAAGCTCAAAACAGTCCAAATTGCAGCGGCAAGAAAGAGCATTTGTCTTCTTTCTCTGCTTCATTGTTAGTAGACATCTGAGTAGATAAAAAAATCTTTATCTTGATCCATACTGCAAAACAGGGAACGTTTTTTAAAGTGTAAATAAAAAATAGATATTCTTAAATCAAAATAAAGTGGCATTTTCTTAGTAATAGTTTCTTCACTGTAGCATAACAAAGCCCAAAGATTAATATTACTTCATTTTCACTATAGGAATCGAGTGTATTTGATCAGACATATGAAGAATCACACCTGATTCCTGTGGTATTTACAAGACTCTCCTGAAGTCATGTTCAGTATTCTCATGAGGAGAATGCCAGCAATTCCTTTGGGAAGCAGGACTTTAAATGACTAGTAACTAATAACTGCCTATGAGGTTTGGTGAGCACAGGGTTGCCTCTTCATATATGTTTACATTGGAAGTCCTGAAACAACTTTTTAAGTACTTTTCCAAGAATTATATTACCAAGTTTTTTCTTTGATCAGTAAAAATTAATCTCTTGTAACGCAAAGGTACTGAAAGAGCAGCAATAATCTGCCATGGGATATCTTTTATGTGAAGTTTTAGCAAAAAGCTCTCTCTTGGAACATAAGAAATGGAATTAATATATGACCAAATCGGAAAAAGAATAAATACAGAATTACAGAATAATGAAAGTAAAGCTCTCTCAAACATTTTAGAAAAGCAGAGAGAATGGACATGATATATGCTGTAGCACAGTTCAAGATATCAGCCTTTCTACATAATAAATATAATCTCTAATTGAGAAATCAAGACTAGGGCTTCAAAAGAGTTGAGTCTTATTTGGTGGCTGATGAGAACTCTTGATTTCCAAATTTTACCTATGATGACTGTCAGTGTAACTGGTGAACTGTGAAAGCCCACAAATCAGAGAGAACAGCTGGTATGAGCAGAGGCACCTGTGTTTTGCACTCAGCCTTATCAATAACTGACCAGCCAGCAGTAAATGATTCCAACTAAAAGGTTCCAGGCCTTTTAAAAGAACATCTACCACTTCCATTCTCCTGCCCAAAGGAGAACATATAAATCAGCACCTATTAATTGACTTGCAATTGGTTTCTTGTCTTGTAGCCCTCTAAAGCATTTCGTGGGTATTAATTTGTACATCGTTCTGCTCAGTGCTTTCATTGCTCTCTTTAGTTCTTTCCCCTGATGCTGCTGGTTTCATGCTGGTCTGGATCAGTTAACGGAGATTCACAGTACAATTCCCTTTTTTCTGCTTATTTTGTGGCAGATGAAGATATCTCCTCTTCACAAAGATTTCTTTGCTCAGTAGTATCTTTGTAGTGACTGCAGGACAGCTCAAGAAACTACAGCCTTTGGCACCCACATTCTGCTGTTGTATTTTTGTACATTGTCTTGATTCTGCAAAAGTTTTATTTCACGTCTCATTTTCCCAATATATTTTCTATTTGGGTTTTTTTTTCCTCACAGTGTTCATGCTCACAGCTTCATAATATGCTCATTTTTAACATCAGTAGTTATTTAAACAGTTACTTCAATGCTTTCCAGTGAAGACTTCTTTTAATAAATTGATGTCAAATAGGGGTTTTAAAAACCATTTTATGCCATTTTCTACAGGCCTTTATGTTGTGGATATTTTTGACATAAAAAACTTCAAAACCCTTTAAAATTTACTCTAGGAAAAACTTATTAATTAATAATCAGGTTCTGGTCTGATAACACTTGCTATATCACAGGAGTGCATACATGGAGGTTAAAAGGCACTGTGAGTTAGGGTAGTGTAAAAGGTTTACCCCACCTTCTATCCATGATGCAGCCCATGGAATTATTGCTTCAGTAAGAGCCCCAAAAAGATCTGCTGGTGTGCAATGCAGACACAGCTACAGGTGGAGGTACAAGCACCTGAAGGCTCCATGACAGGGAGATAAATGTAGAAATGGCAGGTCTGGCAGTGCACCCTATGGATTCCTTTCCACGAGGAGCCTGTCTGAGGGATTCTTACACCTCCATACCCAGAGCACAGACCTCTGCCTCTTATAATAAGTCCTTAATTGGCTTTTTTTTGCTCTGCAGACTGAACACACGTGAGTTTCTTTGAAAATTCAAAGGGAATGCTTCCCATCTTTTATTTCGCTTTGTCTTAAAACTAATGGGATTTCTTGTTTCCCCGTGTTTCTGTTCCTGCCAATTATAAAAGCTTGCATAAGGAGGTAGAACGGGTGTAAAGGCTTAAAAAAAAAAAATCATCAGTGTGATTTGTAGGTAAGGAGATATTAAAGAACTAAAAAATCCCCGTGGAAAGGATCTTAGGGATGACATATTTCTACAGATATATTCCACTAAATCCCTGTTTAAAGCCCCAAAAATATTCTTTTTCAAGTGCGCCATGGCATAAAATCACTCAGACAAAATCTTTTGGACGCATTTTTGCTTTAAAGTGGATTTTGATCTAGAAGTGTCAGCTCAATGGGAGATGTTTCAACATCCACAAGGACTCCAGATAAGTGCAATATAGTCCTGATGGTGATTTTCAGTCATTGTAATTGAGCTCAAATTAAAGTGAGTCCCAGCTGTAAATGATTGCTGACTAATTTACTAAGCCATTAATCCTGTCTATGAAACTTTCACTCATGCTTGTTTTTAAGAACTAAATTAAGAGTTAAATTTCTGAAGTAGTTCAGAGGTGAAGACAACTGACTTGTGGAACCCTGACTCTTTTCCCCAAATATGCATTTAATAGAGTTGATGTATTTTATCTCTGTTATGTATTTTATCTCTGACTGCACAGTCACTGTAGTTGCATTCAAAACTTGTAACACTACTCATACAGATTTCTCAGAGTAGCTGAGGAGCAAAGGTTTCTACAAAATATTTTAGAATAGTATTTTTTTTGATACATTGAGCTTCCAAAAATCAAAATTCGCCACCCTCTTAATCCCCAGAAATATAAAATTTTTAAAATTGCGTAATTAAATCACATGATCAGGGTTAGAGAAGCTTGCCACTTCATTTTTAGCAACAATCTGTGTTTTGTAGCACTCTCTGTGTAATGCTGAGATACTACTCTGAACAAAAGCAAGGAAAAAAATAATTTTGAAGTGCACCTTTCTTTAAACTCCTTTGGTTTCTCGAGACTCTTTTGATTTTTTCCTTCAATCATTTCAGAGTTATCTTGATCTTCTGTAGCCGCTTCAAGTCTCTTAAAAGATGAAGAACAAATAGCATAAAAATTGACAAAATTTTAAATATTATAGCTATGTGCTACGAAAGTTTTCTAAATCTGACGAATCACTGCACAGTAGTAGAGTTTTTGCAGCCAAGACATTCTGAAGAAATAAACAAAACAAGGTTAAAGAGAGGAACTTCCGTGTTTGTTCCAGTTCTTACAGTTTTGGAACATGGGCACTGCACATCTGTTCAGAACCTGGAGCTCCCTACATGGTCTCCTTCAAAGCTATAAGCAAATTCACCTCATCCCTTCTCTGCTGTATGTTTACATAGCACACACCACCTTAGGAACTTTAGTCTATGACTGTGTGTGTCGAACAGGATCACTAAATATTAAATATAAAACCAGAAGGCACCACCTGTGCACAACATGCTTCCATCAGCACGAGGCAGTAAATGGAGTCCTTGATCAGCTGTTTCACAGAGGTAAAAGCACCCAGATGCAATGCTATAAAAAAATTACTAAACCTTTACAAGATTGGCCTACTGGGCTACTCAGGCTTAAAACAGACCTTTTACAGAGGACTGGGTCCAACTGCTGCACTGATAAAATCCCTTTTATTTTTTGAAGGCCATCCCTTTGAAATCAGTGCTTCTTCTAGTCAGTGGAACTGTATTGATCCCCTGTCTAAAATCAGCCAGTTTTAACTCTGAGGGTTATATACCCACACATTTATTTGGGGGGAAGAAAAAAAAGAAAAGAAGAAAAAGAAGGAAAGCGGGAATTTCCATTATTCTTGTTGTAAAGCATATCTAGTTAAACACAAACCCTTAAAAACCAGTAGGGCCTGTGAAAGCTGTACACTCAAGCCCTGGGGCTCACCAAGGAGTGTCCCTGCACTGTTTTCAAGTGTCTTCTCTTGAGATAACACCAAAGTCCTCGTGACACAGTGCCTTGACAGGAACTCTGGCATAGGCTGAGGTCAACAGAAAGCAAGCTTTGAGAGCCTTTACATTCATGGACCCCTCTTCTCTAAGAAAACATATGTGATGCTATAGAAACATAAGACTGGAATCATCCTCTTGGCCTGTGTGCTTGAAAACACACCACTTTTTTTTGTGTTTCAGAAAATGTAATGGCAGTATGTGTAACTGCATAACGTGTATTTCTAGAAAATAAAATTAAAATACAGTTACCTTTTCTAAGGAACCAATCTTCATTTCTAATTCATCTGCTTCTTTTTTCAGTTTGACGAATTCTTGTGCAGCAACAGTGGCAAGATGTAACATTTCCTGTGTTTTTTGCTTCGAAGATGCACTTTCATGTTATGGAATATATATTTGAACAACATGCTTTTTTTTTTTTCTGGCAAGGGATACCATCAGATCTCTGACCCCTCTGTGCCATAAGTGCAAATGCCAGAGGTGCAGAAAGCTCTGACAAATCTACATTTCTTTGCCAAATCTTCAAATCTAACTTCAGTTAACCTTCTCCCAAACAAAGAGTTTTCATGGATAAGTTATTAAATTAAATTTTTTATTCTCTCTCTGGAAAATGCTCCCATAAATTTAAACTGAAGTGTATTATTTGACCTTCGATTTTCTCACAGAGAAATGCTGATGCTGCCACTCTAAAGATAAATATATAAATAATTGGTCTTTTCTAATAGAAAGTTGTGAAAGGTAAATATAAACTTTTTTCCCTGCTAACTGCACAAACATTACAAATAAAGGATACATGTGTACAGCCCAATCATTTACAGCTTTAAAAGGAACAGCCTCTGCAGAAATAAAATTTAATTTCAGAACATTAGTTAACAAACCTAATTTTCTTAACAAATATAAGATAAATTAATAGATCAGGAGCACGTTACTTACTATAGATAACAGAAATTGCAGTGTAACAGTAATGCCATTAACTTGCACTAAAAAGATACTAAAATTAAATTTAAAATTCTGAGAGCCTCGATCTAAAGGATTCTTAGAACATTTTTACCCCAAGAACCCCAATGACAAACCTCTCCCCATTACATTTAGGGGTTGAAGAAAGGAATATTACTATATATACTCTAAATTTTTCTTTGCTACAGATTTTTTTCCCAAAAATAGTGTAACACAAAGAATATATTTTATTAGCTTAAAGGAAACTGTGGAAAATGAGAGAACTTCTGTATGACACCTTTAATGTGCAGTGCACTGCCAATAGGCTTTAGTGTAAAAGCATTGATAAGAGCAGTACCCAGATCCAAGCAAGCATCTTCCTTCCATTTGTATTTTTTCCAGTGTTTCAAAACTCTCTTTTGGATTTCTTCTACTTCCTCCTTTTTTTTGCAATGCCTCTGGGCAAGAGCAGTCTCTGCATATTTTTTGTGGTGTTCCTCCAAAACCTCCTTATACTGGGTTATGCAATCCTCATACATTTTCCTATAAAAATATACACGTAATTTAATTTTTTTCCACACGAAGTCATTGTTCATAAGGAAAAAAACTATCAGTTTGTGGCATCAGCTCTGATGGGAAAAAAAAAAAGTCAGATTATATTTAATATGCCACTCTTTGGTTTTATTTTTTATTGTCTAGCTATTTTCAAGGAATACTGTGTTGTATGTAAAAAAGAACACAGTTGTGATGTAAAAACCGGTCAAACCTCACTGTTCTGAAAGGAATGCAGGCCATAGCACATTCAAAGTCAGCCTGGCAGATGACAAACATATTTTTTCCTGTGTCATTATCGTGAAACTCACTTCAGGCCAAAGCCTCTGCTGGTGTTTATTGGCACAACTCCCTCAGTTTCAGTGGAACTGTAACAAACTTACAGTTAAAGAGAATTTGGCCAAACACCCCATATTTAGAGCAGCCTGATGCACCACTGGACCAAGAGCTGCCTCCAAGGAGATGCTGAGTAATCTCAGTCTGACTCAGGGAAGCCTTAAACACACATGTGAGTCACACTAAAACAATAGGACTATTCACACTTAAGGCTAAGCAAACACTTAAATGTTTAAATGGCAAAGAGCCAGAATGCTCAGCTTCTTGTAGGGCTGCCCTGTAAATTAATGTTACACTAATATAATTTCACTGGCATCATGTGAGCACACAGCTATGAGTTACTAAGGTAGGTAACATCAATTAATGTTCATGACATTCTTAAAACTCTCAATCAGCTTTTTTAAAAATTATACTGTAAAAACTAACAAATACCAGAAGTAACAGGATGCAACTCATCACATAAAGGATAAAATTTAGACATGTGCAAAATACATAATAAGAGCGTGATAGCAGATGTTAATAAAGAGGTATCACAGCTGGGTGTAAATTAATTAGGAAAAATGTTTAAAGTAGTGACAATTTCTTAAGACCACTATACTATGGATGGCCATAAATACTGCTCTGTGAAAAACAGATTTTGGGAAAAGAATATGAAGTTAATAAAGAGGTTAATAAATGAGGTATGTTAATAAAGAGGTATCACAGCTACAGACATCCAGCATACGCTGTTAACACTAAATAGTCATTTAATTGGGAAAGAAATAATACACAGAGTTCCTTGATATTACAATAGGCCAGGTAAAGGAGATGTCATCCTGTAGGAAAAGGTTAGGTGAGCAATACAGAGGGACAAATTAAAAAATATTAAATTATTAGTACATCCGTAGATTAGCAAGAAATTACTTTATGGAAAAAATTATGGTTAACAACAGCAACTAAAGCCAGAGAGCCACCTCTTTACCTGCCCCATGAATAGAGGCTGCATTAAGGAACAGCTCTCTCTGCTTGCAAAGCAGACAGTATTTCTCTCTAAGGAACACATTTTACCTCAAACTTTTACTAATCACTTAATTGCAGCAGGACTGAAAGGCTGCATTTGTCAGTCCTGGCTGCCCGCTGGCAATCCCAGACAATGGAAGAGAGAAAAACTCGTGTCCGAACTCAGTGCTAGAAAATTCTGCTCTTACAAAAGGAAAACAAGAGTCACGGGGCAAAAAACAGGAAGATTTTAATTTTCAGATCAAACTACACTCCAGGCACTGGTTCCTGTTAAACTGATTGAAGTTCAATACACTTTAGGGGAAAGAAGTGGTCGGTCAACACTGTGAAAGCTAGGAATTGACACTTCCCAAAATTCACATAGAAAATTACACTAATCTATCTGTTTTTCTACACAAGTGGTCTCAGGAATCTAAGTTTCTTGATTTACTTGATATTTCTGTATAATGTACAAAATTTCCCAGGTATGAAAGATGAAAAATATTCCATTCTATTTAATTAAATAAATGCTACGAAACTAGCTGAGGAAAAAAAAATTTGCTAATATAAAATTTAGAATACATTACAAATAAATTTAAACAATATAAATAAGTAAAATAATTTGTTGTAGCAGATAACATTTCAAGCTTCTGAATATAATCCTAAAACTTTATATTCTTTTCCCAGAATCTATTTTTCTCAGATTAATATTTACAGCCATATATAGTGTAGTAGTCTTAAGAAATTGTCACTGCTTTTAATATTTTTCCTAAGTAATTTGCATCTTACAGTTTGTGCAGATAACACAGAAGTATTTGGAATTCAGCACTGTTCACATTAAAGTCATCAGAAAAAGTTTTAATCTAATTGCAATGGGAAAGGGGCAGTGCTCACAAACCCCCTAAACATTATGTAGATGGCAATTTATTTCTCTTTCCTTCTTCAGATCACTTTTTTCAGGATAAACTTCCAGTTCATAGGAGCATTCTTCTATGTTCTTGAAACCAACAACAATGAAAAAATGTGGAACATTTGTAAAACCTACGTAAGTGCCTAATTAAACACAAACTGATCTGCCCATCTTTTAAAAACATCTTTCCATCTAAAGAAGCATGTCCTGAGTGCCCACAACTCCCAGGCTGAAAAGCACATTCAGCTCATAAAGTTCTAAATATACTGATTTTTCTTCCTAATTTAAATATTTAGAATTTGCTGAATGCACATTTAGCTGACTTGAGCATATCATCAAATGCTTCAGTGCAGAGGGATTGTATCTGAGGGAAAGTTTTGAAAAATATATGAATTAAATTTATTTCATGATTTATAGTCACGATGTCTTACAATTAAGCTTAGGAAAACAGATCAAACACTTTCATGTTGGAATTGAAACTAGTTATCTAAAGAAGCAATTTAAAAGTAATGCTTCTTTGGCTTGTCAGCTCAAATTAGTGAAAGCCAAAATGGCTTAATCATATACTCATAGAAAGCCAATTTAGCCTTATTTTTCACCAAATTTAGAGCTCTGAACAGGAAGAAGACAGATAAGCTACTAACTGAGTTAATTAAAGGCTATCAGGCATGCTATTTCTGCTGTCTTGGACAACTGGCAGAAAGAACAGTTACAAAAGACCCAAAGCCAACATTTTAAATCACCTAAATCTGGGACTCTAAACTGGTATTTAGATATCTAGAGGGGTCTGCCATGACTTTTGCGCTGCAGGGCTAAGGAGCCTCTTCCCCCTCACGTGCAGATCAGTGAAGGTGAGCAGCCTCTCTAAAATGAAGGTCTGTTTTACTCTTTCAAACAAAACTTTGGAGGGCTACTTTGGCACAGCACATTTGGAACCTTTCAGTGAAAATCTTCAGGGACTGCTCTTGATCTCACCGAGTGTAGGCAGCTACATTGCACAATTCATAATTTCTTTTGGCTGCAGAATATAGTTAATGAAGATGAAACACCTGAGATGACACTTACTGAACAGAACTGCATTTGCATGCTTTGTGTTTATTTTGAAAAATATGCAGCAGTACACAAAAACTTGGTTTTGGACATTCTAATAATCACATACAATTCGTATTCCAAAATAAAGAAAAGCATGAAACTATCTGAATGCTTCTAATCGTTAGCTGAAAAAATTGTCTTTACTTCTTGAGCTTTTCTTGAAACAGTAGGCAATTGGACAATGTTCTGAAAAATTGTAATAGGCATTTGGGAAGCAACTGAAGAATCCATATTGTATCCTATTCCATTAGTAACTACAAAATAAGATATGACCTCATAATAATGCAAGCCAAAAAATCCTTTTAGTTATTCAGTCACTCATATTGTCCTGTAAAGTTTACAACAAGTTGTGATGCAGACTGCTGGGTTTAGTCAGGTTAATAAGAAACCTCATCTCACGTGACCACAGATACCTCTCATTTTCTGTAGCTTCCTCTAAAGCTTCAAGTTCATTTTTCACGTATTCTTCATGTTTGCTAAGAATTTTATAGGTGGGCTTCCAACTGTGGAGAAAGTTAAAAAAAAAAAATAGAAAGCAGATTAGGGGTCCTTTCTAATAAAAAGCCATTCAAAAAATAAGACGTAAAGTTACTTCAGTAGCTTATTAGAACAAATAATTCATTAATGTTTTGAAAGTCAAACATAAATGGGTTTAGTACAGAAGTCTTTCATGTGCATACATTTATTTTGTTAAGATTTTAAAGCTGCAAATTCATTAAAATAGATATATAAAAGTAATTAAGATTACAAAGCAGTTTTTAAGGAATGAATGGAATGGGCTTCACACAGTTTTTTGGAGCCTAGTGCTAAGCAATGAGGCATCAAAATCCACTTATTTGGTACTCAGCAGAGCACCATGAGTAAATCCTTTAGATATGTACAATCTTCTTGTTGGAGATGCCCAGAACTTCATTCTCATCAGTATCAGCAACACCCACCCCATACCTAAATGCAAGCAGCAGCCACAAACAGAATTTCCTCCATTTGCTAAGCCAGTGCTGCTCAGAAAACACCAAAGTGATTTTCCTAGAGCAGGATGCTGTAGAAGGTACTGAAAGCACAGCAGCTTCATGGAATACTTACGACCACTAAACTAACAGTACTTTCTCAACACCCAGGTGTTAGAGATACCTCTTCCTTGGGTGTGGGAATATTAGAAAGAGAGACAGATAGACTTTCTGATTCAAGCGAAATTCAGGTGTGAACTTTAGGAGAGGCATATAAAAAGGTGTTTGAAAAGAGAGAATCCTGCCTGAAAAAAAAAAAATATAGTGTAAGGAGCGTGTGAACAGGCTGGGTTGGAGTGGGACAGAGATCCTACTGCCAGTGAAAAGAAATTACATGCTCCCTCCAGTGGAATCTACTGTAGAAAAAATTAGCATAACCTCTCTCTAGCCAGGACTTAAAAGGATCTATATATTCAGCCTTAGTCCAGAATACAAGCTGTCCTAGGCAGCACTAACACCTACAGTGAAGTTTGAGAGAAGCTATCTGTCCTAGGAGATGCACACAGAACCCCCAGCTTTAGGAACACATACATAGAGAGTATCAAAGCTAAATGTTGAAGAAATAGAAGGAAAGATCCATTAGGACTGACGAGACTGAAGCTGGAACAGCAGAGATACAGTTACATGAACAAAGAGGAGGGGAGAAATGGCAATACAGAACAAGGCTGCAATTGAAAAAAGCAAATAATTCAGAGAGCAGCTGAGGACATACAGCTCACTTTGCACTGCATAGCCATGAGTAGGGTAAGTAAAGGGCATTTTTGGATATGAATGTGCCCCATGGTTCAAAGCTGGAGGGTTTGTGACATCCAATCACACAAAGTATGAAAGTCCATTTGAACAATCACTCCAAAGGTAGAATAAAACAGAGGCTTCAGTAACAGCTGACTTACTGCAATTTCCATCAAGGAAATAAATAAAGAGCAAAGATCTGGCAATTAATTTGCTGAACTGAAGTCAAATAATCTTGAACTCCGGGTGATGAGACAACACAAGACACAACCAACATCTGTAACAGCAGTAAAGTCTGTCAACAAAACAGCTCATTGAGGAATGACAGCCTCTCTCAGGAAATTTAGCACTGTGGGCACAAATTGTTTGACACCACTGGTGATTAAAAATGTAATTAAAAAATGTTACTTCACCATATCTACTGCAAATGCAGCAGAAAGCTGAATTTCTAAAGGGTCAGATTTTTTAAAAAGCAGAAACCAACATAAAAATGTGCTGGCACACCAACACTGTGATCTTCTTCTTCTACTCAGAAGCCCCCATCCCTTTCTTTGGAGGAAAAAATATCCAAGTGATATAAAAGTCAAAAAGCTTTTATTAATCAGAGTACAAACCATGTGTTACATGTGTTCACATCTACTCTGTGGACATACAAAAAACACACAGTACAAGGACACTGGTTTGTGAGCACCACAAGGTATGCAGGATTCAAGTAGCTCATCTACCAGTTTGCTAAATGCATCACTGTCCCAGGGATCACATCACATTTATGTGTCCTTCCTTTCATCAGCCAGGGCATAAAGAAAAATCTTTGTCCACACTAATCTGCGAGCAATAACATTATCCTGTCATTTGGTAGTTTGGCTAGAGGGACAAGACAACGATTTCTTTTCCAAACTAACAACATTTTGAGCTCATCCCGCTTTTTTTCTTATTATGTTTTTTCTATTTCCATGAAATCTCACCATCCTTGCACCCAAATTTAAAAACTGTAAGAGAAACAATAAAATTGGAATAGGTTCCACCAGCAGTATTTCACTACTTCTTACTGCTCTGGGATCAACATTTACAGTTTGAATCATTCAAGAAACTAAATATTAGCAAAATGTCATCACTTGTCTAAAAACATATGTTTCATTTGGCTCATTTTGTGCCAGTTCTTTGTTACATAGACCAATATGGATTTCTTTCAGGTATTATTCCAATATATCATATTTTCTATAGACTTGTTGAATATAAGAATCCTTTATTTTGTTCAAAGTCTTCAAATCTGCTTCAATACACCCATGATCATGTCTAGTAACCCAGACAAAACACTGTTTCTTTGAGAGCTCTATTGAGCATCACTGGCAATTAGTCAGCTGAGAGGGCGATTGTGACTCCAAAACAATATTTGAATTTGCAAAACCAACATTAGAATCATGTCCAGTATAGATGGAGTGTCAACTAGAACAAATTTTAGAAGTTTAGGATGATTCTACTGTGTAAGTGCTCTAATTGTCTGATCTTACAACTAGGGCTTGTTTATTGCAGTTTTCAGTGTGTTGTTAAATGACATTTCCAATAATTTAAGACACAAAGCCTCTACTCTTCTGCAAGCATTGTCCTTCTATGAATACATGTATTCATTAATGAGTCACTTCTCATTTTCAGTCTCTTTACACTAATGCCATTAATTATTCTTTGTAGGACTTGAGCCAGAACCCAGTGAATTCAACGATTAAAATTTAGATCAGATCCTTCGTTCTACCCTTAATTTTTTAATCCATTTTTTTAATTTCATTTGCATCATTTAACAGTTTGTGATTTGCAAAAAAGATATCAAAGGAAGCGGTGTGAGGAGTTTCATAAACTTACATAAGTGTTCATTTTATCCTCCATTGGGGGCAAGAATGTGATGGAAAAATGGAATTTTCTTGCCAAGGTCAAATTTTTTCCTAACCCTTTTTATGATAAAGCTACAAACAAGTATGGTATGGTTATCCATTCAAACAGCCAGCCACTACAACCACTTCATTCACTAATGATTTCATTCTTTCTTCTGTTTTCTGAGGGTTCAAAATGAAACCAGAAAGGACCCTAATGCCATCTTTACTTCCCTCTTTATTTTAGAAGCACCCACACTCTCCATTCACATCCAAAACCAAAAAAAAATTCAAATGTATGTTATAGATATTTTTATTGAATACTTACCTTTAGATATAGAATTGCAAGAAAACAAAACAGAATCTGCCAAGAAATCATCACTTCAGCTGCTGAGGAACTAGAAAGATTGTGGAGAGATGAACACTGTGGTGGATTTTATCACCTGGGCCAAACCCTCTGTAGAGTCAAATACACATTTGCCTTTTTAGCTACCCCTACAAACACCTGAGATCTCCATTTGTGAGAACAAAACATTATGTGTCAGGAAGAAAAAACTCCTCACAGCCAAATTGCTCCTTGAAAAGCTTCTAATTACTAAGATCCAAAAGTGATCTGCATCTAAAACTTGCACTGATAATCTGACACAAAAATTTATGTAAAGAAAAGTGTGAACAGCAGCCCATTGCATTCAGCAAAAGAGTGTGCCTGTTAGAACATTTCTGCAGCATGGAGCAAAAATCATACTAAAATCTGCTAGTAGAAGCACACAAAGATGTGTCAGGAAGACTTTTTTTTTAAGAGTATTCTTAGTGTTGTTCAAATTTGACAGAGCTCAGATGCGTCCAAATATAGAAAAATTATGTTTCTATTCCCTTACTCCATAAATACTTCAGCATGCTGCAAAGACAGTACCTGTGATCTCTGAAAACTGCTGATTCTAATTAAAAAACTAATCTGAAATTAAATGTAGTCTGATTTTCTATGATTAACTTTCTCAGGGGATGGGTAATACTGCCATTTTTTTTACTGAAGATTTACAGTTTGAAAAAAATAGGGGAATCCTAAAGTTTTCTTTAACATCACTCCTGTCAGAACACACACTCACACACACACACACATATTTTTCCATTACTTCCCCACTGACTTCCTTATTGCCAGGCATAACTCAGAGTCCAGCCTAAACTGTACTTACACATTACAGTTCTTCTTACTGCTCTCATGTTGCTTTTTCAAATCAGCTATTTCCTCATTGCCGTTCTTTATGTTTTCCTCCAACTTAGCAATTTTATCCTTTTTTTCTGCGAATTCGGCGGTATATGCTAAAATTAAAAACAAAAAAGTAAACATTCAGCAGATCCACGAAATATAAAGCCTACACTCAGAAATATTAAAAATTTCTACTCCCAAAATACTTAATCTCCATAGCACCAGGTGAGTGGACAGCCTGGAATTAAGCAAAGCAACAACAAAGTGAGTCAAAACTTAGGGATTTTCAGCTGCATGGTGAATACCTTTGATATCATCTAATATCATGAGATTGGCTTTGGAAGAAAAAGTAATTATTTGTGCTTCTCTATAGAAAACTGAAGTAACAATTAGTGGCAGAAAGCAAAGCACTCTGGACAGTTAGAGCTGAGCTCTTGCAGTCCTCAGTGTCTGCAGACACTGTAAGTGGCACACAGGGAAACCAAGGTAAAGGCACTTTGCCCTCATGAATGTTTCCAACTGGGGAGACTGATTGAAGTACAAGAGTTGCTAAAGATAAATGTCTCTTTGTTGTGTTTTAGGAATGGTATTCCCCAATTTAGTGTTCCCTCTGAAACACTTCAAACCACCTAGTTCTCCCTAAAGAAAGGTATAAAATAACCTGGAATCCTGGCCATGCCCCTTCTGACTACGACAAAAATTAACCCTGTCCTGGCTGGAACCAGGACACTCTTCCAAACATTTGTTTTCTCTTACAGAAGTCCAGAAACCCAAACGTTTTGAATGGGAAAGCTGACTACAAGAAAGGAAAAACAAAACCATCACTAAAGGCAAATAAACAATTAGCAGAAAACAGAAACAGATAAAATAAAATAAAAAGGAATTTTACTCAAGGTGTATGATACATTAACACAGGACACAGGTTAATTAATAAAAAAAAGCTTTCTAATGACAAATTCTCAAGGACTTTGATATTTGTGGAGATGCTGAAGGCAAACTTAATTCTGCCTTTTCTGAGAGCAGACAGCTGATAACACTTTCTGAGTGAGTGGTTAGGAGAGAACCCACGTTGCTGAACATGATCAGTTCTCTTTCACAAGTAAAAGCTGTGAGAGCTATCGTGCCTGCTCACCTTGCAGTGCAATGAGCACAGCTCGGTGCACTTCATTTTTCTCTATGTTTCTTATTTCTTCTTTTTTTTTTTTTCATACAAGCTTTCACAAATCATCCCTTGCTATCACTGCCACCCTGAAGCACTAAATGCCAGAGTAGGTGACCCTAGATGGAATTCAATCACACACATGTATGTGGCAGTATCCTGTAGGTGATTTGAGATTTACCAAGACATAATTATATTAACAAAATATGCACCTAACATTTCATTTAGTATTTTCTAGAGATGAGCACCTCTGTGATTTGTTCAACTCACCCTTTGCTTTCCCAAGGACCTGGTGGGTGAGATCCATCTCACCAACTTTACAGTGCAGGCACCTACTGCAGAACTAGACACCCATGGCTGCAGGTACGTTCAGCAGAGACAAGCTGACATTTTTAAAGCTTACTTTACCTAACCTACTTTAAACTCTTTCTTCAGGATAAGACAAATCACACCCTAAAAGTGCCTTTTCCCTCCACTGGAAAAAAAAGGGACTGTATCCAAATAGCCTGATGAATCTCACACCAACAGTCCGAGGCTGAATGCTACAGCTGTTCTTCTGCCAAGTAATACTCACACAGAGACAAAATTACATCAGTGTCACTATTTTTTGGTAAGTTTTTGAAAGATTTAACCCAAACTGTTAAAGGCCTGAGTGTTGGCTGTGAGTTTACAGATATTTAGGCATCTCTGAACTGAACACAAGCAGCTATACCATGCTACTACACAGCCTTTGGATTTTCCCTGAGAACAGGACCATTTACCCTAAGCCTGCATAAATGTTGAGAAAAACCTCAAGTCTACAGTTTAATTATGTAACTGAAGAGTTAAACCAGACCTCTAGATGTGCCAGATTTAGTGTTACAGGTGTTTTTATGTTTAAGATGTTTCAATTTAATACTGATAATCTTCTTAATGAATAAGTACTTGCTCGGACATATCAGCGAAGATCATTGGAAATGTTATAATCAAAAAGAACACCCATCAGACCAGAATTCTCTCTTATTCTTTTTCTTGGAGGTTATGAGCTTCAATATCTACCTATGAAGTACCAGTGGTGAGGACAGATGTCCTCACATTGGTTGTGGTAGAGAAACTATTCTCCAGACATTCCTATAAATTAGTACATAGTAGCACGGTTAAAAAAAAAGCCAGTGTGTAAGTCCTGGGGGTGTGTGGAAATTTGATGTGGGGCAAGATTTTCTCTTTGGGTTTACTGTTTTGAATTTCAAATAAAAAAACCAGCTGCTTAATTGCAAAAAAAAAAAAAAAGTACCAGGCTTGAGTAGGTAGTAGCAACTGAGAGAACTTTCATTATTTTAAGCAAACAGAAAGAGAGAAGAGGCAGTGAGGCAGAGGTCCAACTCTGGAAAGAACAAAAAACATGCAGAAAGAAAGGGAGGCAAGTGGCAGATGTATTGAGCAAGCACAGCTGAATCAAAGAGCTGCCAGTGACTGTGAGGAGCTGCAGAGTCGGAGCAGGAAATGGCGCAGCATGAAACTGGCTGTCCATGAGGCAGCTGAACGGCGTCAGCTAAAAGTCGTGAGCAAAAGCAAAGTCTGCTGGGGAGAATGAGCAAGTATTGATGGCAAAAGATGAGGCAGGGTGAGAGCAGGACACGGGACAGCTCTCATTGTTCAGCTTGCTTCCGTCCCCGAGACACGGAACATGTCCCGAGACTAGTGAAACAAAATCAGTGTTCAGAATGCAATAAAATGATAATTTATCACTACTCACAATTTATCTGTTGATTCACACGTTCCTTAGCAAAAGAACCTTGTTCTACCTGGAAAGCTTAAGAAGAAAATTAACCCAGATATATATATGCATGTATATACATATATATAAATACATATATATATATATATGAGTTGAGCTGTGAAACAAACATATGCTGTGCAGCATTAATTGCACAAACTCTGATTAACAATTATTTTAACAAAATATCTAAATAGCAATTTTACTATTAAATAGCTGTTACTACCCCTCTCCATAACCTCCAAGCTAGCAAAACATTACGTAGGCAAAGATCAAAATCTTAATATTATACATTTACTTGACGTTAACACAACTGTTTAAAGCAGAAAACATCATTACATGCACTGCATTAGTAATTATTAATTAAAAATATATGATATAACGACCTACCAAGCTCGACCAGAAGTTTGCCCAAATCGGTCAAAAGTTCGTCACTCATTGTGTAAACTACAAAAGGAAAATGCAGTTCAGGGATTTACACAGTCAAAAGCCTTATTGATACAATAAACAAGTCAAAACTGCAAGACAATACCACACATTTTAACATAAAAGAGAGAAAAAATAGTTTTATCTGCATTTGAATTGCTGTCTAAACCATATCAGTGGAACCAAGTTTCTCACTGATGGTAGTAAGGGACTTAATGAAAGTCTAAACCCCAGCTTGGAAAAAAGGAGGTTTATAATTTAGGTGAAGCGCTGCTCCTGGAGCAGTTCTACGTTTGAGAGGCTTAATGTTCTTAGAAGGCATGAAGGATGCAGGAAAAGATGTTTGTGTGCAAAATGTGTAGCCTGTAGTCCAGCTGGTTACTAAGCCTATGGACTGCAGTGCTGGTGATGGAAAAAGCTCCTTAACCCTCCTGCACACTCCTCCCGTATAATCGCAAAGTATATTTGAATCAGAAGGTGTAAATATGTTCAGTGTGATTAAACACAGAACTCTCATACGACAGAAAGTAGATTGTTTACAAATTCACTGTTCTGTTTGCATAGTGCTGCTGGGTGCAGAAATTCAGTGATGGGTTTTTAAATAGATGGGGAATAATGAGTTTTCTAAACAAGATGCAAACACGGTTTATCAGAACGCTCTGGATGCAGCTCGTTAGCTCAGGTACATTAACATTAGCCAAGTTATCTGATACTTAACTGCCTCCACAGCACAGTGAAAGAAGTAAAGCCACGACAAATCGGTGATGAGGATGAGATCCTAATCCAGGATAAAGTAGAATAGAAAACAACTGCAGAATTTAACTAAAGTAGCATTAAGGCTACATCCTGCAGCACTGAGACTGTGGGAGCGGGAGGGGGCGGGGGGAGCGTTTAAAATGCTGGATGTTTGACAGAAATGAATTTGTCTAATAGTTAAGGGAGGATCAGAACACCTAATCCAAGTGACCGGATTAGCACAGGCTGCGATAAAAACTCCGAGAAACAGATAGTAGTTTTACCAAATGTATTTAGAAGATTGAAATCCTAGTTTCTAGTGCCTGGAAACATATGAGATAAAAAATAAAAAAATCTTCTGAAAATACTAAGAAAAATACTAAGAAATACTACCTCAAGCCACAGGTCAATGCAGAATATTTTTGCTTTTACACGATGTGAAAGAAAATCTGAAGTAATTCCTTTGGATTAAAAAAAAAATAGTTTGGAGCATGTATTAAAAATCTGTTCTCTAGAAACAGTTTAACAATGTTTGCTAGTTGTTTTTCTGACACTTCCCATAAAATCTGCAAGATATTGGGGCAAGGAAATTCTATTCATTGGTTTATGAGATGAACACAAAGTTCATCAATAGGGCAGACTCTATAGCTGTGTATTATTAAGATAGAAACTATTATATCATCGCTTAAACAATTACAAAAAATTTTATCTTTTAAATATTTTCATAGAAGAGAGAAACAACTACAGTAATTTTTCAAATTTTTTTACTGTGATTTTATAATACAATTTATTGAAAGTGTAAGAAGTTGAAGAGAATAATGCTTCTGAAAGCATGGATATGTAAAATACTTCTTATTCTATTATTAACTTGTTATTGCTAAAATGAAGTAACATAACTGCAAATCACAAATGCTATTCTGTGCTGTGAATTAAGAGGATACAGGTGTCACTAGTAGAAAGGACTGAGAGATTCAATGGCACTGGTAACACAAACGGTGTTTTAAAAACAGTAGTTAATACCAGCCTGAAACAATTTTTGGACAACTGATGTCTTCCAGGATTTGACTGGAGCAAAGACTGATCCTTGGACCTACTGCAGAAAAGTAGCATCAAACCATTATTCAACTCAGGACGACAAATTCAGAGGAAATTCTCATATATGGCTGATACTTTTGTAGAAGATAAACATGTAACCCACAGGACTGGGTAAAACAACTTCAAACCGCATCCGTTCTTTCTAATGGGGCTATTCAGAACGCTGCCAGGTGAAAAATATTATTTTGCATCGCTCGGTTTTGCCCCGCATTAATGTAAATATAGGGAATTCAGTTGCGGCAATAAAGTTTCGTGTATTACAAGACTGTACCGGGTGAAGAACCCACAAGCAAAGTGCTGATGGAGTCTGTAGCCATTACAGCACTAACATTAATGCCACTTCTCAGTAAACCCATCTGGCAACAGCCATTTCTGGGTTCTTCATTAAAAGGTGGAAAATGCCCATAATCTGTGAGGTAAATATCTTCCTTAAAATCCAAGGCTCAATTCTACCAATTGTAGGCTGTGAAACGGTATTAATTCCTGTTGTCTTTATACAAGTAGTTTTCATTCCGGCGAGGCTCTTTTGAGAGCAAACCGTATTTCTCCCGTGCTATTCATTACTGTTTACGACTGTAAAGAGACTGGTTATTTGATTCTTCATGAAATTTTGTGGAGTTCACATTTCTAGACTAACTTTTCAGCTCAACTGAAAAAAAAAAATTGAAATGTACTTCATTTTAATGTATGTGCTCCTCTGCCCCTCTTTTGCCACACCGTTTTCGGAACCCTGTGAGGAGACCTGAACATCCACTGGATTGCCACATTTCACTTAGTCCGGCACATACCAAACAAAAGGCTATTGCTGCAGATTATTTTCTTAAATCCTGGGATTTAAAAATTAAAACTACTTTTTGTCAAAAAAAAAGTGGGGGAAAACCCCTATCCTGTGGGATACCACGGGGGCTGAGGAGCAGCGCCACAAAATGGCGGCGCGAGAAGCGGGGAGTGAGTCCCTCACGGCGGAGGAGGAGGACGGGGACGGGGCGGTCAGGGGTCTCCTCTGCATTTTGGGGGCCAACAGCACTGGGGAAGTGACCAGAACGTGGTGGCCCCTTCCCTCGCCACAAGGGAAAGGGCGAGGAGCCGTCCAGAGCCTCACTCAAAGGCCGCCAGGGGAAGGGGTCGGAGCACCCCCCGCTGCCCCCCTCGGAAAACTGGGGGGACTTCCCACATCTCTGGGGCACCTCAGCCCCGTCAAAGGGTGCGGAGAGGGCGGCAGGTATCACCTTGTCACCTCCACGCCGTACCGGCGGTGGTGGGAGCCAGGGCTGCGGGGCAAGCCCGGAGCGGGTTCAGCCGCCAGCAGAAGGGGCCGAGGCCGTTCACGCAGCAGGTGAAGGGGCGGCTCCCGGAGGGGCTCACGGGCCGCAGCGCTGCGCTCCCTCAGGGCCACATCGGCGGGGAGCCTGTCCCCCAGAAACCGCCCTCTTGCTTTAACAGCGGGAGTTATGAGGGAAAGACCAACATTTCTGAGGGCTTCGGGCGAAAAGCGATGAGGATGCTCCATCTACCGGGAGCAGCGCGCAGGAGGGGCCGGAGCCGGGCGGGGAGAGGAGGCAGCGTCGCTGGAACGGGGCATCGCCTAGAAACCTACTGGGGAGGGTTAATTACACACGTACGCACTCCGGGATGTGGCACAAAAAAAAGAAGGTGCAGAATGTAACTTGCTTTATCCACCCTCCAGGTCCCACCCGTGCTGCTGACCCAGCTGTGGAAGATCAGCCCAAATCTTCCTTCCCTGTTTCCCTCACGGGCCCGGCCCTCGGACAGTTTAAAAGGGCGCTAAAACCCATTAAAAAACAGTTTAAAGAGCACTAAAGGCATCTCCCTTCTCCTCCCGGAGCAGCTTCACACTGAGGATGCTGCGGAATGCCGCCGCTCACCTCAGCACAACCTGCGCTCACAAAACTGTGCGCGTTTATTTATTTATCGATGTGCAGTATTACAAGGCAAAAATGCAGAGCCCGGGCACGGAAGAAACTAGAACACGATGCTTCCTTCCACGCTGCGGTAGCCACGGGGGTTTTTCGCCCCCTCCCCCCCGTTGAGATTACTGAGGCAGAGGATGGATTTAAGATTATCAATAAGCAAGAGCAAATAAATTGGAGGGGAGGGTACAAGGCGGAGGGAAAACAATGGAACTGATGAAACAAGGGAGGACAGGAAAATTGAACAGGGCTGAAGAGACGAACAGAAAAGTCTCTGCCACCCGCAGTCCCGGTGTTGGTCAGATGCGATGCTGCTTTCAGAACAGTCAATTCAACCAACAAGAAATGCAGCTTCAAAGACAAATAGCTGACCTAGCCGGCTTCAGGGCAGAGATGAGGAGCGGAAAGAAAAAAAAGAGAGAGAGAGAGAGAGAGAGGGGGATATAGAAAGAGAGGCATGTTCTTTTGGAAGTCAGATGTCTGCGGCCTCTGCTCCGTGCACACTGCTGGTGGCGAGGCTCCGTCCTTTCCAGGACCATCTCCCACCTTATCTCCTTGCCCGTGGCGAGAGCCACCTCCTTGTCCTGCTCCCCAGAGACACTCTAATTCCTAGATGCCTCTTGGGCTCTGCAGCTGCTGCTTTGCAACCGGTCTTCCCAAATCATTGAATGTTCTTGCAAGGAGAAGTTACTTCAAAGCTTTGTCCTGCCTTAAAGACTCTTAGAGATCCCCCAACCTTCTAGAAATGGGAATCTAACAGCATAGTAGCAGGTAACTTCGCTGATGGTCATTAACACCTCCCAGTGTCCCGGTAATTTAAGTAGTGGTGCCAAAGAAAGCTGAGGTTCCCACAGATTCAGAGACCCCAGTTCACCCGGAAGGTGGTCAGTCAGTTCAACAGGATTTGGATAAAGCCGGCAGGGACTTCCTGGATAATTCCCCCTAAGGACTGTCCCCACCTGGACTTGTCAGGGCCCAGGAGCTCCTTTACCCATTTCTTTATTACAAGGACCCCCGTCTGAGGTTATCGCTCTGCACCCACCTGCTGTGTCCCGCTGGTTGCACCATGTTTGTTTTTTCCTTCTTCCCTACAGAAAAAACCTCAACCAAAGCCACAAACAAACATTTTCATTACCGATGGCAAGCAGGAAGGACTCTTTCATAGTATTATCTCTAATCAATGATGAATGGGTTGCACTATGAAAAGAGATATGGTCAATTCGGGGATCAAAAAGGGCTCCCAAACCCACTCCCTCTCGCTGTCAGACCCCCAGGCCCATCACTCCGCATCTCAGTGGGCTCCATACCCCTCTCCTGTGGTTCTGGTGGCTCCCCCCAGTCCCGATTGCCGCTCCTCCAGCTGATGGAGAGGGCAAAGTAACCCCCAGAGGACAAGGCACCCCCGTGCACCCAGCAGCACATACTATTGAGTTTGGGAAGGTCTCTGGAGACACCCCACCGAATCCCCCCAGAAGAAAGCAGGGAAGCTTCGCTGCCTAATTTATCGGGATAAGGAGTGGAAAGTTGTTGTCCTCATGAAGCTGCTCGGGCATAAACTTGCTCCCTGAAGCAGCGCTGTAACGCCGGAGCCCAAGCAAATGCCAGCCTTCACCCATGGCCCCAGTCCTGTTTCCGAGCCCAGGGTGGTGCCTGACTCCCACATGGTACCCAAATCTAAGAAAGAGCTCACTCACAAGAAAAGAGGAACCCTGTTTCCCTCGCAGCCTTCATCCACGGCGAGTCACCTCCAGGAAGGGCTGGAGTCCAGCTCAGTGCCAGCGCCCAGACCAGCCGGGACACAATATTTGTCCTGGACTTAGCCCCGGGAGCATTTAGACACGACACTACCTCAGGGTATCTAACCCTGGTTCTTCACCTCCCCCAAACACGAGAATTGTCCCCATTCCTGCTCTCTGCTAAATAAGTTTTCGTGGCAACCCTCGTCTCCATCCTGGAAGAAGATGTAATATTTGAAGGACTTGAATGTAAAAGAAAAAGGGAAGGGAAAGGAAAAAAGGAGAGGAAAGGGAAGGGAAGGGAAGGGAAGGG